CCCCCCCCCCAAAAAAACCTCTCTAGGTATTCTAATATTGTATCTGTCCCGGACATATAATATCTGTAATATCTGGACTTATAAAGGGCCCTATATCTCAAAAAGCTTAGAGCTTTATTAAGTCTAAATCAGTTTATTAAGTCTAAATCCAGGCGGTTGTGGTCATTTAAATAAAAGGCCTTCTCAGGTGTGGCTTTCAAAGGGTTAAATGATGATTATCATGTAGCAAATACATTTCTTATTCAGGTATCCCCTAACAGTAAAACTCGTAGGCTTTCATACTTGTCGTTTTGTGGAGATTGACTGCAAGTTAGAAACTAAGGATTTGGTTCTCTTATAAGGCTTATCAATAGTCTCCTTTCCTTTCCTGGGAGCTGCAGTATCAATTGGCTTCATTGGTGTATCCCAGGCATTTCCTTAATAATGAGACAGCTAAATGATTGATGGGTTCAACTAAAATTCTTCATGAATACTTAATCCTTAAATAACAAATGTCCTGCTGCAGAATTATTAAGAAAGAAAAGAGTGGTAAACTATCTAAAAATTTTTGCCTTACTTCTTAGATAGTTTACTACTGTTAGTTGATATTAAACTGTATCTCTTTCTTACACATGTGATACAGTAGAAAATTCAGAAATCCGCAAAGCTTGGAACCAGAGGTTGTGCGGATTTCAGGACAGAAAAGATAAAGCATAATATTTGGACTAAAAGTGCAAAATGAATAAGGCATATTAGATACGTTTAATTAAATTATTATATACATTATAGCAATAATTTATTGTGTGCATTAAATTATTATTACATATATAAATTGATTATATTATTCATTGTATTATATGCACACAGTATCGAGGTTTGCCGATTTCGCCTCATGCGAAGATTTCTGGTTTCGGATTCTTTTGTTAGAATTACTGTTGCTGTAAAATTTCAACAGCTTTTCTTTATTTTTCCGTATATCACACACAATCATGTCACAATTCCATACCATTCTGCTATAAATCAAGGAGTAGCACCTGCTTCCGTCTTTTGCAGAATTTGCACTTTTTGCGTTACTGTCAATGCAACGTGTTTACGTTTTTCAACGTTGCAAGCAGTAAAATCATGAGTGCGTTTCTTATCTATCATATTAAAAAGGGCTGAAATTAAAAATATTCTTAATTTATCCACAAAATATCCGGATAAAAAGAGGCAGCACTAAAAAATATCGTGAAATGAAATAACAAAGCTCAGAAAATACAACAACGTGAATCATGAACAAAGAGTTGAGTGAATCGTTTGCTTTTTTACCTCAATGCAGATTAGAGGGGGGAAAACTTATCTTATTTTTTTAACTTCTTTATATCAATAATTTGGTATTTCCATTTTGACTCATTATTATTCGTTAATTATGACGTCATTATTCGGTAAGTATTTTTTCATCGATATTTTGTACTCAATGTTGCGGTTTCCGGAACCTGTAAACTGAATGTTTATATTCTGAGAGGCAACACGGATTTCAGGAGTTGGCGGATTTCAGATGGACGGATTTTCGGTATTTGACTGTATAATATTAACAAAACCAAAGCAGATTTAAGTATCATAATTTATTCAAATAATTGACAATTAAATTCTGCTGCAAAATTGCTACTATATCAATTCAAACAAAAACTATGCAGAAATGAAATTTAAATAAAATTAAAAGCAAATGAATTTCCTAAGACATCTTCTTCATGGGCTAAGGTGTTTTGAAAAAGGGGGGGGAACCTTTTTCTGAGCACAACCAAGAAATTTAGTATAAGAGAAAAAGGAAAAAATTAAATGAAATTGCGTGCCAAGTTCAGCAGGCCAAAATTTAAAAAGCATTCTATGTAAATTCAGATGAACTGAGAATTTTAAAGTAACATTATAATCGGGAAAAGTATGTATTATGAAGAACAGTTTTTTTTAACTTTACTCTCAGTTTTATAACTGTATGTTCATTTGAATTTAAACAGAATGCTTTTTAAATTTTGGCGTGTCAGGGTTGAGCTGATCAATTCACAAGTTGGTTTAATTTTTTCCTAAAATTGTCTATATATTAAATTTCTTAGATGTTGCGTTTATTAGCTCAGAAAAAAGGTGAATTTTCTTCTACATTTCTCGAGATGCTAAGCCTCAGTGTTCTGGGAAATGTAAATTCCATTTGTGTTTAATTTTTCTTTTCCCCTACTTGGGTTTCATTTATCCTATATAACATTCAGTTGCTTATTTCTGTATGATGTATAAATTTTGTAAAGTTATAAATTTAATCATTTGTAGAAAAATCTAAATTCCTTCTCCCAACTTTTTTTTTGGGGGGGGGCGACTGATACAGTTGTTTTGTAGAAAAATTTGTTTACCAGTTATTTATTCTTTGCCAAAAGAATATGATCCAAATAATAATTAATGTGTGGTAATAATGATTTTATAATACAAAAATTTGCTTTGATTTTATTGATATTAATTACTACAGCTTAAAGTGAGTAATTTGGCTTAAAAAAATTATTTGAATTTCATTTTTAAATTTATTTAAGTGTATATATATATATGAATGAAGTAATTTAGATGTTGAAGGCGTCGTAGATATTTCAAATTGTGTCCGGTCGAATGATTACCTTATTTCTCCACAAAGTGGTGCTTTTGATGAAGTCACAGATAAAAGTTTTAAAAATGTGCACGAGTGGAGAAGTAGAAGTTTGGCAGGGTGAAAGTAAGAGAGAAAATGCAACTTGTTCAAGATGAAAAATTTGGTGCAGAATGACTTAGTTTTTGTGTACCTTTGTTTTTATTGGTTAATAATAAGTTTGCAAATTGGAAATTATTGTTGGTTGAAGCATTATGTAAGTGCTTAACATTGGCATTATACGAAAACCTCAAGCCATGGATTAATTTTGAAATGATGCAGTTTAGAGCAATTTGTTATAAACATTTTTTTTTTTTTTTTTTTTTTTTTTTTAAGAAAGGGGGGAAGCCGAACTAAAAAGAGAGTTAAAAGACTATTACAAATTAAAATTAGAATTTTGATATAGGTATTTTTATCTTGCACACAAACAGACACATACATATGTTTATATAAAGTAAGATCATGTTTATTTTGCTTTGTACTTTTCTTTTTCACTTTTGGTGTGCTAGCATCTGAAGAAAATATGCCAGGAAATGTAAAATCCTTTGCTATTTTTCACCTTTTTCTTGAATTCAGATATTTTTACAGTGACTTTATGCTGTATTTTTTGCAATATATGTTCCAAATCTTTTTTCTTCTTTACTAAATTGAGTGTGATATCTGAATTTACTTTGAATATAATTATACATACACATCTCTAAGCTTTGTGTGTGTGCATGTGTTTTAAAATCAAAAACTGTATTTAAAAAATTATTAATTAAGATGTTGCTCTATCATTTTTACCAAAAATGTTTTATTAATGACAGAAATCCATATCCATGCTTTTTAAGGATCCTTTGCAATCTTTCAATGTTTTCTTGTATACAGATATTTTTAGTTATTTTACGTTGTGTTTTTGCAATATTTGTTCCAATTCCTTTTTCTTCATTACCAAATTGAGTCTGATATTAAAATTTGCTTTGAATATAATTATATGCACACACTTATAAGTTTTTTTTTTTTTTTTTTTTTTTTTTTTTGCATATTCCAAAGACCTTTTTGAGGGGGGGGGTAGTTAGTTTTGTTTTGATTCCCCCCTTCCCTTTTCCATTGCTTTAATTCTTTAATATTAAATATTGTAAAATGCATTTAGGATTTATATTTTAACCAGTTTCTGTTTAACTGTGTAATTATATTGTGGCATTTCTTAACTACATTTAATAAACTTGATTTAAGAACATTGGCATTTTAAAAAGCACTGTGTGATGTTTGCAGGATGAATTTAAAAATAATAATTAGATTAAAACCCTTATATTAGGTTTAAAATTGCGTTTTGGATGCATATACAAACACAAAATGCAAAGGCTAGCAGAGAAACCCAAAATAAGTAGATTGTGTGATGGAATGTATGTGTGGAAAAGATGCTTTGTATGGGACACTGTTGAGTGATAGACAGAAAGCTATGTAAATCATCATTCCATATTGGATTTCAAGCAATACATGGCTACAGGAACACAGACTTGGCAACATGTATTTTATCATTGAGATTGCAGACAGAATTGGAGTAACTGCTCCAAAGGACGTGCTCATAAGTAAGCTCTATGTATGTGTAACAGCTGAAAATGTATACAGGGAATGTCAATTTACACCTGCAGAATATTTTTACTTCTTAGTAGTGCCTAATACCATCTCAGTTGCACCATTTGCATACATGCTTAACATAAGAAAACCTGCTTATTTGGGTCCCCTATACCTGCCAAATTTTATCAGATATTTTTGAATCGCCCTGTAATGCTTCGATATCATGTAACTGTTCTAAAAAGTAATTCCCCCATTGAATAAACAAGACTGTTTTAAAATGAAAGATATTATAAAAAATTATTTTTAAATAACCTGAATAACCAGTAATCTTTGTTATTTTAAAATCCTTTTCATTTTAGAAAGACTCTTAGAATATTTGTATCTTTTTTCTCTGTTTTAGTATCTTAAATTAGGACAAGTTTCTTAAAACGTTTTTATATATTAAAATATTCTCTTTTTTTAATTTCTTTTAAAGAATTTTTTATACCATAAAATATTTTCATATTTCAATATTTAAAAAGTAACTATTAAAAACTACATATTAATGAATTATCCTCATTATTAACTATACAAAATTTAAGGAATTATGTAAATTTTTGTGGAGGGAATTTAATTTTAAAAAATATCCTTTTAGGTAAAAGACAATATATGATGAAATCAACTTTTCATGCTTTCTCTTTAGCTAATGTGACTAAAATTCATGGCATGTTTGCATACTGAAATCTTTTCATTGATTGCTTGAGCAATGAAATTGCATGCTGCATGAATGTTATTGGTAGCTTTTTTTGTGCACCTTAAAATAGCATTTACTGTTTTTCAGGCATTTGGATGGCAAAGAAAAGAAAAAAGAAAAAAAGAAAGGTCTCTTCTAAGAGAAAATTTGATTTACTGTGCCTCCATTTACGTTGTTTGCTTTTGTGCTGTCCAATGTCATCATTGCTACTATTATCTCTGTTGCTGTTGAAAATTAACAACAGCTCATGAAAAACTTGCTCACCTAATATTTTGCCATTGCCTACATTAAAGCTTGTACATTTTTGGTTTTGCATTCCCAAGTTGCATTTGAATGTATCTGTATATATAGTTTTATTCATTTATAAATAACATTTTTATTTGATTATATTAAATTGAAATATACTGTGGTACTTAAAAAGTTTTTTTTTTTTTTTTTCCCCATCATCAAATGTTGAAAACTTTTATATAAATAAAAGCACATTGTCGCTTCGTCTGTTATATTTATGTATTGAAATTGCCAAATAACAGAAGAGTTTTCATGAATATTTATTCAGAAAGTTGTCAAAGTGTATTATTGTTCATTTGTAGAGAAGTTGTGTTCTGGGACTAATTGGCATGTGAATTAGTAAAAGTTGTATGTTAAAGTAACTTTTTCAGATAGTGTGACTTTATTCTTATTTCTCAATTTATTTTGAAATAAGTATGATAAATAAACAATAGATATATTAGGCCACTATTTTCCCCATTTGATTATCCTGATGATGGTCAATTTATATTCATAGTTAAATTATTTGAGAATGATTTGTTGATTTCAGCAGTATGTGTATTTGGTAATGTTTTGAATTGGAACTTAATAACTGGAAAAAATTTTCCCCTGGATGTTATAATTACATTTTAAAGACATGAAAATTAAAATTCTGTTGTAGTATTTAAAAAAAAAAAAAAAAAAAGAAAGAAGAAGAAGAAGAGGGAAGGAAATGTGTTTTTGTATAATTATTAAAACATTGTAATTAAAGCTTTAATTTTTTTATAAATATAAAGTCAAAATTTAGATATTTGAGATGTAGTGATTGCATGTTTGTAGAATTGTAGTACAGGCTGGGAAATATTTTTTAATGCTACAACATCAACTCAGATTCATAATGTTGCATTTTTAAAAGTCACATTTTCTTAGCAAATGCTGGTAACAGAATTTTTTTATGCTGAAAAACATTTTTATATGTAAATATATCTATATAATATATCAAATATATATTGGTAGATTTCTAAAAATCACATATTCTTCCTTTCTGTTGATAAAAACCGTGCTGTGCTTTTGTTTTATGTCCTTTTTAGTGATAAGAGCTGACTATGTGGAAGGTGGAGGTTTAAATTTTTTCAAATACCCTGTCATATTATGATAAAAGAAATACTCAGAAAAGTTCTTATGTTTGTATTTAATATTTTATGATAGTATCATTAGAAATTACACCTCATGATTTTAATATAATGAAGTTTTTCAGTTACTTTCCTTTAGTCTTAGTGGGATATCAGTTTCATGCTTTGCATAAAACATAATTGAGTTATTTACTTAATTGTCAATTTAAGCCAGGATTAATGTTGTTAGAGTTAACTGTTTTTTTATATATTACTATCATGAAAATACTGAAATTTAAAGCTCAGCAAACTCCTTTTCTTTTTATCACAAAATTTAAATTATTTAAAATAATTCCTATAGCATATTGCATGTAATCTTATTTTTTTATTTTACGATCATGACATTTCTGATTGGAATTAAGATTGCAGATGTATTGCTGTGGCTGAACATATATTGGATATTCATTATTGTTTTCTAGCCCTTAAAATTTTCTATATTTCCCCAGATTAATCCATAATAAGGTGCAGATATTTCTTCAGCACCTTATTATGGATATTTTATGGGGTATAAGATTCCTACCTTCATTTCAGGTGGTACCTTGTGTAATGGCAAATTGTATTATCTCTATTAAGATGCATTTGTCATTTCTTTATAAAATTAGTTTGACTGTTTAATTTTATGAAAACTTCAGTTGAAGTATGTATGTAGAAATTAGTTTTCATGCACTTTTTTTAATGCCTTCACTACTATATGACTTTATTACTTATGATGGTTCATTTTGCAATTAATAATCCTCATCTGAGTTCAGCTCTTTTGCAAGTTTTTTTAAAGAAGAAGTTGTGTTTAAAAAGAAAATTTGATTCTTATTTACATAAACCTGGTGATTTACTGTAAAAAATTTAAATTTAACTTGGGCTGAAGAGCAGATGTCAAATCTTTTTTTTTTTTCCCTGCTCAGAGAAAAGTACTTAAATGGTAATTAGACTGCTAAATTTTTTTTTTTAAATAAATATTTTATTAGTTTAAAGTCCTTTTCTAGAATAAGTTGATGTGAGTGTATTTAAATATGCCTTTTTGTTAGCATTAATGAGTATATTAATTTTCAAATTTTGCATTTTGCTATTTATGAATTGCAACAGGGGGAATAACCGTGGTTTATAGCAGTACTGCATCTGCTGTTTTTCTTTTTTTTCTTGAAGGATTCTTTCAGTATTCATTCCAAAAAGTATTGTATTTTTAGCCACATGTTTAGAATTGTGTGTTATTATAGTATATGAGTTTTAATAGTTAATATCTTTTATTCTTATCTCCTTGTGTAATTTTTTCTTTTGTTCCATAATGTAACATGTTGACATTTTGCTGTAATAGGGGTCATGAGAAACAATGGATTTGGTTTAAGAAGTAAACCTGTTTGAGAATGGAAATATCAGCTGTAAATAAAACAAAATTCAGCCTCTTGTGTTTATTTACCACTAGTATTTTTGATCGATGGAGTAAATGTAATATTTACAAATATTTGTTATGGAGCAAAGAAATACTATAAGCATTGTAATCAAAAATTAAAATCTGTTTTTATGAAATGTCAGTTATTAAAGAATAATTAATTCTTTTGTACATAATATTTCGTTTCGGTCAGGGAAGAGAATTTAAGTAAATATCTGTAGCTATAATTTTCTGAGAATGTAGAACTATTTGAAACTTGTGTATTTTTTTCCTTAAAGCCTGAAAATATGGACATTATAATAAAATGGGAGCTTATTCTTCCTTATATGTCAAAACTTCTTAGTGTATTATTTTACTGCTGTATATTTAATCTATTACTAACTTAATCTAATAATGTATAACAACATAAAATTGTTTCTTATTTATGCATTTAAAAAAAATTCTTAATTCATGTGAGTGCCACTTAAAACTTTTGAGTATGTGAATTTCTATGTAGAGTTTATCAGTGAAGTGAGGAAGAACCAAATGTGTTAATATAATATCACATTCAAGGTTTTTTTTTTTTTTTTTTTTCCTTTTAAGTTGAAAATGCATCCATAGCATTTCCAGTTTACTAAGTCATTGTACTGACTATGTTATCCTAAATATTTAATACTTTCTCATGGTTGATGTATATTTTTACACTTAATATTTTCCACAATGTAAAATGTGTAATTTAAAAGTTTACATTAACAATAATTTTTCTCCCTAAATGTGTATGTCAGCTGTTTTATGTTAAATTTAATGAGCAATCTAAATTAGTTTTCCCTTTATCTAACTCTATTGTGGGAGACAATGGTACTAATAAATAGTTCATTAATAAAATATTAACAAGTTACTAATATTGGAAAATCTTAAAAAAATGTCTTTTGAGTGATAACACGGTTTGGCATAATTTTATCCTTAGCAGTTTATCATTGATTCCAACCTTAACAAACGAGAAATACCAAAACAGTTAATGTCACGTAGGAAAAATATCCGTCATTTTATGTGTTAGTTTTTTTAAGCACCATTTTGTGTTTTATACATATAACATTTGAGAATGTAAATTTTTGTGAATATTCTCATAAATATTGCTTGCGTTTGGGTTTCATTATGCTGTAATTATTGCTATTCATCAATTTTTATTTTCTCAGCATTTTGAATTTAAAATAATATTTCTTAACATTTCATGGGAAAGAATTAACTGCTTTTTAATTAAAACATTTGAAACATGTGTTTGAAAAAAAAAATTTTTAATTGACTACATTTTGAGTGATTGACTGCATTTTATTGATTGTATTTAATCCTTCCTATCTATATCATATCCTATCTGTATCAGTGCTGGTTATATTTCCATTTGTATTTCTGAGAAAGGCTCCATTAATTTCACATGGCAATCTAAAAAATATGTGGCAAAAGAGGTTAAAACCTGTATTGATGGTATGACTGTGCTAAGTGTTGTTAAAATTAATTTGAATCAAAATCTTATTGTATATAATTAGCATAAATTTTGTTTAAATTTAATCTTTCTTATCCATGTGGTATCAAAAATATTTTTATGAGGTTGCAGTAAATATAATTTTATCTTTAAATTTCATAATTTTACAGGAATTGATTTTAGTAGATTCAAATTGTATTAAAACATGTCCCCTCCTTTATGTGTGTGTGTGTGTGTGTGTAGAGGGGCGAGTTGCATCAGAAGTTTTCTTTTGGGGATAAAAAGACTTAAAACATTTACTAGTTTTAGATAGTGGTTGTATAAAGTTTCATATTTATTTATAGTTTATGAAGTGATTTCTTGTCAACAGGGTAAAATATTCTTATGCTGTAACAGACTTTAATAAAACTCATAGCTTTTTACATTTGATAATTTTAGTAAGAAACTATTTTTAAAGTTCTTCTATTTATAAGCTTTGAATCAGTTTCATAATGAAATGTGATTTCATTAAGATTCTCTTTTGATAAATAAAAAGTCATCGATGAATTACATGTATTTCACTTTCATAATAATATATCAATGGATTAAACTGTGTGACTTTTTTTGGGGGTGGAGGGAATTATATTAATAAATTTTCACATTAAAGAAAGAGCAAAAAGAAAACATTTGATTTTTAGATTTTGGATAGTGAATTTATAAACTGTTAACTTTGGTTGTTTTAAATTTATCTTTTCATTTTAATAAAATGTACTATTTTTCAGCAAGATAGTACAGTTCTTGGTGGAGAATAGGTTGAATTAATGAAGAAGAATTTTAAACGTTTTTAGAACTAAGAACTGGCAGTTTATTTAGTGTATCATACATGTTTTTAAATTATCAAGAGCTAAATAACTCCTTCATATCCCCCCCCCTGTGACTTTTAATTTCCAGGAATACAAAATATTTATCAGCTACTGAAATTAGTATGAATTTCATTAATTTTAGTTTTAAGTTGGAAAACATGATATACTGTATACTGATTAATGTATTAATTTTAAATTTTCCAGCTCATTAATCCAATTTCTGATGTGTTTAATAGCTACAGTATATTTAAAGAAACTGTAAACGTGTAATGAAAACTAGTTTGTATCCTTATTTTGCTTCTAACTCAGTAGGAATAATTTTCCCCCCATTTTTCAAAATGAATTTTAACATATCTGCAATTTATTATAGCAAATTATTGATGTGTTTCATTCATAGAAGCTTAAATCTGAAATTCAGTATGATTAAAAAGTTGTATGTTAAATCCAAGACGTTGATCTATAATAAATAATTATGGATTGTGTAACAGAATTTGTAAATAGTTCAAAATTTGATGTAATAATGCAACATATCATCTATGTAGGGTACATTTTTTCAAAACTTGGAAGAGGAAAATGTAGTAGTAATAAAATTTAGAACATAAAAAAAAGGTGTGTGAGTGAAAATTGGAAAAGTATTTCCCCCCCCCCACATCTCTTCACTAAATGTTTTGCCAGAAATGCATGTTAAATGTACTAAGATGATCT